TTTTACTTTTCCAAGTTATTGCCCCTCCAGCAAGGATAAACAGGATGTCACTTGTAGATTTTTGATCAGTTGGGCATCCATCAGTCAGAGTCACAGAACCCTAACATTTTCATCTTTACAACAAATTAATTTTGTATTAAAAATGTCATGTAAATATCTCCTGACACATTTTGCTGCTGTCCAACAATTTCTAGGATAGGAGGATAGGAGCAATATTGGCAGAGTGCTTCTGCCACTTGAGTAAGTCAGGATGTGTACCATTATCTACATGTAGTAAATTTCTAATGGCAAACTTGTAAAGATAAGCTTCTGTCTTATTTTGTAAGTCCTTATCACGTGGAGACATTGACTTGCTTATTTTTCATTTAAGTCTAGTAGTGTAGCAACTGGTCTATAATCATATATATTAAACCTTTTAAGAATATTCTCAAAATAGTGACTTTGATCTAAAGTTGTAATGCCTCTTTTCTGTCTTAATTAATTAGTCACTGTTTTGATTAAACTGAATCATGCAGATGGAAATGTCTCATCCATCCAGAGAATATTCCATACTTTTACTGTTAATCTTGAACAGAATATGGAACTACAGCATAAAAGTATCTTATTCAGCCAGATCATTCTGCAGCAGCTGCTGAATTTGAGAGATAGTAATACATAATATTCTGAATAATTTTGTGGATATGGCAACAAGCTTATCCAATGTTTGTACAATGAACCAAACATTAGCACTTTTCATGGCATTTGGCATCCTGTCTTCTTTTAATTTTATTTCCATTGCTTCAGTCAGCTGTATGACAACAAGTTTTTGTCCTTTTCTGGGTTTCATTTCCAATGACCCAGTTTCTTCAAATTTTAGAATCACTTTTCATAAGCCATTCAGAGATTGGATCTCTTTAAAGGTCATTCAACAACTTAAATTTCTACAAAGCTTCTGGTACAGAATTTTTGTTTTTGTAAAACAATTTCACCAATAAAATATATTCTTCTAAACTTGATGTCATTTTGAACTAACTTCAATTTAAGAGAACTGTTAATGAAAGAGAGTTTAATGTAGAGATTGTTTAAATAATGCTACTTGATAAGAGGGATGATATGTTACATAAAATTTGTTTAGCTGGCCTTACATGCCATAAAATGATTTATAGAACTAATTTTTTGTGAATTTCCTTCCTATGATCTTATTAAGAGATACAGAAATGTTTGTGCAATCCTGTTAAGCAATTTTTGCTGCAAACTGCATAGAATACATGACCTTTTATTGTAGACATTCTGTACAACATGCATATGTAATAATTATAATAATATAACCACAGTCCTTTTAAATTTAATATTTATGATAAATGGTATTTATCAATGCTAACATTATTTGATTTTCAAATGTTAGGATATTAAATTTTAATTTTTTTAAGTGCTATTTTGAAATTATGGTTTTTATTATATATCCGAAGATGGATAGTAAGTTCAGAAATATTTAGGATGTTTTACTATTATTATATGCATATGGTATACTTTAATCAAATAATGTCTATGAAGATTTTAATAATTTAAATGTTTAGATTATTAATTATTTTTATAAGATTTATGATTTCTGGTCAATTAAATTTCATAAAATTTAAATAAACTTTTATGAAATTTAAGAAGTTTATTCATAAATGAACTAATTTAAATATTATAAATATATTCATAATGTCAAAAAATAAATTCATTAATCTATAACTAAGATATCAAATATTAAAAAATTAAATTAGACAAAAATGTTCTGTGATAAATTTTCTGGACCAAAGTTATTTAATCATTATATTAAAATTTTATTAGCATTTTTGTGAGTTTTATCATATCTTATTTCTTTTAGGCATTTCTTGTAATTCAGTGTTATTTTAATTCCAGTTATTTTTAAAATGTAGTCTTTCTGCTTAAACTGCATTTTAGGACTTATGGTTATTTTGATTTATAGATTTATTTTGATTTTATAGATTTATAGATTTATTTTGATTTATAGATGGTACGAATGATTGTAAATAATTAATACATTTTCATTGACACAAAATATTAAGTAAGGAACTTTGGTCAGATAAAATATTCTTTACCATCTCTGTCATCAAAGCATATTTTTGCACTTTCTTTGTCAAACGGAAATTTTTCAATTATAAATTAATTTATTTTATAAGCAGTATCATATCCAGATATCATCATAAGTTGGGTCCTGGGAAAGATTTGTCCATAAATTTTAGGTTTTGCTTTTTGTAGATAAATCTGAAAAGATTTATATACATACATATATATGAAGGGTTCAGGTGTAAAAGATGGTAAGTGCCATTTCCTTTAGTATGTTACAATGCATTCTAACAGCTAAACAGCAATGTACAGTGGTGCCTCATATATCGTATGCCTCAAGCAAAGGACTGGCTGTGAACAACAGACTTTCCATTTGGCAGTTATTTGAGGCAAACAACGGTCTTTCTGCGAACAAGTATGAATGATTTTTCCACTCTTTTGCTGTTTCTAACGACAATCTATTTTTATAATTTATTAGTATTATTAGAATATATTATTAGTATATCTGAAGTACAGAGCTCCTGTTGGGATTCGGCTTGCTCTGGTGTTTATTACATACAGTACATTACCTCAGTACAGGGGGTATTTACATTTATTCAAGTATGTGCAAATCACGGCTTCTAAAAAAACAGAAAGGTGATTTCAATTGAAACAAAGCAAGATATCATCAGAAGGAGTGAAAGTTGACAAAAACTTCCTTGTCAAATGGGGAGAGGTTAAGGAGTTTACCAACACTTATTTTCCAAACAGAGCTGAGGTCAATAGGATCAATGATCTCTACAATGACACCCTTGCCCGTCATTTCCAACAGGTGTTGAAGAAGAGAGAGAAACAGACCACCTTGAACATGTTTTTCAAGAAGCAAGCTGCCAAAAAACAAAGGATGGAAATAGAGGAGATGACCCTGCAAAGCTCCGGTAGCATTTCCTGAATCTGACTCTGATTAAAAAACAATAAAAAGAGACCTGCTGCAATGTGTAAAAAGTCTGTATCTGTATGAATTTGTAGAGAAAGTGTCCCTCCACCTCCACCTCCACCTCTTCACAGCATTTGACTACCCGGCATAATTGGTGACTGCTTCATTTTCATTTTTTGTATGGTATAGTATGGTTATTTTATGCTGTGGAATGAATTATATGTTTTAACATGTATTTCTATGGGAAAATGCGTTTCATATAACTTTTCACTTAATGGACATGCACCTGGAACGGATTAAGTACATTATACGAGGCACCACTGTATTTCACTTTAAATATTATGCCTACTTTTTAACTATAACATTCACTTTATTCTGATTAAAGAAAATAAAGCAGAAAACTATTTAATATGTTTAATTTTTACATTTTCTCTAAACTTACATTATAGTGCTTACATTTTTTATATCCAATCCCTTCATCTGTAAAAGTATATTTCAGAAAAAATGTTTTTGTTATATTTAATTTATTTATTCATTTTAAATTTTTGTTAAAGGAATATGTGTCCCCTCTATCCTCCACTGAATAAATTTATGTTTACCAAGTAAGTTTATATTGTGGCTTTTCTGTCAAACTTAAGGTTATCTTAGCATTTCTGAGAGGATGGCATTTTTTATTTGCTATTTATTGTACAATCTGATGTGTTTATTCATCTTGCCTTACTCTTTATTAATTACATTTCAAATTTTCATCTAATTTTTTATCAGCATTTTATAATTATAATCATTGTCATCATCAGTCTAAAAATTTCTAAATGATAACTTTAAAATGATTAGAACCTTTCGGTAATCTCAAGACTTACTTTAAGATTTAAATTATCTCAAGTGTCAATTTACAATCTATTATTTTATCTAAGCATTTAAAAGAACTTACAGAACTTATTTAAATGCTTAAATAAAGTGTAATAAAAACATACAAAACTAAAATAATAAAGTATTTATTAATTGAAAGGATAAATTTTTAAGTTTTGTTGATTAATTTTAAAGTTATAGAAGTCACATTATTTATTGACTTAAAATGTTTTCAGAAAATAACATAAAATAATTCCATTATAATCTTACCTTTTAACAACCAAATGAATATATTTACAATTTAAATATTTTCAAATTTCATTAAATGATAAACTTCAATAATATAATATTTTCACATGTATAACCTATGGAGGTATATAACCAGTGATGGCATATACCCAAAGAAAATTGCTAAAACAAAAATAAAATCTTTGCATAATCTTCCCCACTGTATGTGTATTCTGCATCTGTGGGAGCAGTCATTCTTCCCAAAGTTGAAATTTGTGAATGAGTTCATGATTGCAATTTAAAATCAGAACAAAAACTGCATTCTTTTTCAAATTGTCTTTTAAGCAAAAATACAATAATTATAATTGTTTAGGAATTTGAGAAAATGATAAGTTTCATTAAGTATTACTTAAAAATCATTTAAAAGTTTTAATGAAAATGAAAATCTCTCTATTGAAGATAGAGAACAGAAAAAAAAGTTCAAAATATTTTGATTAATAACTAACATTCTATATGTTTTATTTTGGTCATTAATTATGCATAAAAATGCTTTTATATACTAAATAATTGATGTTTCATATGTAAATTATTTCTACTATAAATTAAGTACATTTTTGCTAAGTTAAATATTGTAGATTACTTATATACAGAGTTATCAAATATCTTTCTTAAATTAATTCCATTTTAAATGTTTATTTTCAAGTCAAGTTAATGAATTTCATTTTTTGACCAAAAATATTTTGTTATTCACATAAAGATTACTAAATTGTTATTATATATTACTTATTTTACCATTTTTTAACAAAATTTTATGCTTATATGTAAATTTAAAGGTGGATTTAGAATTATATTTTAAAAATATTAAGTGATTTTGACCAGACATGGTAACTAAATAATATTAGGGTTTATATAAAAATATCTATAAATTAAGCTGAATTTTTCATGTAATTAGATGATATTCCAGCCTACAACAAACCAAACTTTCCTACCTGTTCAAGTCCCTCTGCTTCTTTTGGACGACGCAGGAGAGAATTTGGAATTGGGATGAATGGATTGCCAATGTCACCACATAGTACTTTATCAAACATGTCAGAGAAGGATTCCTATGGTGTGAAATCAATGCCTTCGCGATTGGAAGAAAAAGATGTAAGTTACTTTTCAAACAATAATATTTTAAAATGTTATTTTTTAATTTGTTATAAAATTCATTACTTACATACTCATTAAAAATTTGATCATAAATAAGACAATTATAATAAGGCATAATAATATAACAAATAAGTATTGATGTATACAGGACATTTCACTTAAACATCTAGCCAGTGCAAAAGGGATCTTTCCAGCATTGCACAAGTGTATGCATGTGTTACATGCTTGTTCCAGCACTAAAATAACCAAAGGGAATTAATTTAAGGTGATATAGCATAACAAACAAGTAATCTTTGACTGTATAGGATAAAGACAATATTGCATAAATTGATACAAAAAAGGATCTTTATGTTGTTAGAGGAAATGGTCAAGATGACTACCTTCAGTGGCAATACAAAGATGTAGACAGTTGATTGTGGCATAATGGATGGCATATAGTATTCCTGATGTCATCATTTCATAAGCCTTGTATGCATGCACCAACATCACATAATGTTGCTGGGTACATATCATACACCAATGCTTTTAGGTAACCCCATAGAAAAAACTTCAGAGGGGCAAGTTTGGGAATGTGATGACCATGTATTGGGGCTATATTACCCTAGCAAGTGGTTGTCAAACCACTCTGCTAGCCATTGACACATCTGGCAAATACTATGTTGGCGTGATACTAAACCTGATTTAACTAAACTGATTTAGTTGATTCAATGGCAAGTCATCAAGCCATTGGATCAACATCCATCCACTGCTGTGTTCATATCAGTCACTATTCAGGATGCTGTCAAAAATATGGGACTAAGGAACTGCTCACCCCAAATTCCACACTAGATGTTTAGCTGCTCTCATAGGCATGGAGAATACAGTGGGCAGTTGTATGCAAAGATTTTATTTTTGTTTTAACAATTTTCTGTGCATTTTACACCATTGATACATACTGCTGTAAATTATATTAATAAAAATGCACTATTTGTTTTGAAAAATAAGTAGCAAAACAAAAAGTATAAATATAAAACAATAAAAGAATATGTAAAAATGCTTGGTTAAAAATTTAATTTACATTATGAATATAATTTTTAGTTCAGATGAAACCATTTTTCAGATTTAATTATCAATCAAATTGATATTGAAATTAGAAAATTAAAAAATTGAAAGCTATCAAAACAGTAGATTATTACATTTTTTATTTGTGGTCATGAATAGAAAAGAGATAACTGATAAGAGAGAAATATTCAAATATTTCTGGATGCAAATAATTGTATTTTGCCAGATTTTTCTGGGTTCTTTGATCTGAAAAAAAATTTTTGTTTTGAATTCAAAAATTGTTTTCAATTAAACCATTAAAAATTTAAGATAAAATGTCTCCATTTCCAATTTTTTTCTTTATAACATAAGGAAATTATATTATATCTATTTAAAAAAAAAGGATAAAAGCAATTACTCTTAACTCTTTTTATATATTTTTATCAAAGTTTGGTATTTAATTACTAAAACTCTCTTGTACTTTTCTGACTCAGATGAAAAGTTGAGAAAGTACAAGAGATAACTAAGATTTTTATTGAAGTTTTATCAAATTTTATATATTTTTAATATAATTTTAGTAATTAGGAAATTAGATTTTGAAAATTTTATAACTCTTATAGATAATCTAAATTCAGTAATTATTATTTTATTTCAAGCTAATCTTAAAAAATTTATTAAAAACATGTAAATTCTTTAAATAAAATTTTAAAATGAGCATTTATAATACATTTAAACTTTTATATTGTGTTTTCTATTGATTCTAATTATTTTTATCCTATTTTATATAATTGTTATAAATATTAATTAATTAATTTTGTTTTTTACATTAATGATTGCATTAATGGTGAAATATTCAATCTCTTAGATCAGTTATCTACACTTTTCTAACTGTTATCCAAATATTTTAAGAAAATAAATGATTAGAGAAGAATGTATTTAGATAACGAAATATTTAGCTTAATTTTTATATGTCATAAACTTAAGTAAAAATAAATTAAATAAAAATCAAATTCAGCTTATTCTAAATCCTATTGTAATATTTAAATACTTCCCCCACTCTTTGTCCTGTGGACACTAAGAGGGCCTTTTGATCAAGCCCATTGTGGATTCCATGAGGCAGTCATGTGGTGAGGGATGGGACCTGACTAGGGAATTCGATCCCGGTCCTTATTTCTAATCCCGGGATTTCGGGATTATACTTAGTCAATCCCGGGATCCCGGGATTATTTCGGTATTGAGGGTTAATAAAAAATAAGAAAATCTTACAGAAATCAACAAATCAAAATTTAGACAAAAATCAACAAATCAAAATTTAGACAAAAATCAACATATTTTACAGTATACACCTAGCTAATTTAATCACTCTAACTAATCAGACTCAGAGTCAGACTAACCAGACTTAAAATCACTCAGTCTTCATGTTAAATTTATTCTTTTTTAAGCATCACTGAGATCTCTTTAAACTCACATAAATTGAAAAAACCTTTATGTAACAAACTATGCAAATAAACGTTGAAAATTAACAAAAATCTCTCTTAACATCGACTAAATAGACTACTTTCATATAACAACCTAGTAAGTAGGTAGTAAAGTAAGTTTCTTAGCAAAAAGTATTTAAAAATAATATTAATCAGTCACATTTTTCTTAAATATAAAGAAAACTAATCTAATAGGAACATTCTAATTTGAATTGCGAAAATATGATCTGAGAAATAACAACGCATCCTGTGTCTCATCACCAAGTCTGCTTCTCAATTTGTTGCACATATATGCAGCTGCTGAGAAAACGCGTTTAGGTTTGATGGAAGTTGGAGGAATCGTTAGTAAATACTTATAAGCCCGTTCTAGTTATAGCTTCGAGGACACGGGGAGGTTGGAAGAAAACAGTCCGGTCGACACAGATCGGGATTGTAGGAGTAAAGGCTACAATCCCGATTGTTTCGATCATTGTAAGCATGCCTTTCTAAAAATAAACACGTTAATTTTGTAAATTCGGTCTCTGTGTGAGTCTCTCAGCATCCAGCAAACCACTACTCCCAAACGTAAAAAGACTTTCTCGCATCATCCTGACAGATCACGGGCAAGGCGGGGGTCGTAACCTTTTCACCTAAGGTCGACCCCCCTAAGCGAGAGGCGTCGGGTCTATATTAACCACACTGGCAAAACAAGATGGCTGACACATTGACAGGTAAAACGCACTGAGTAGTGCTCTCGACTGCGCCAGAAAATCGATTGGCGCCCGCGAAAATTCAAAAATACAAAAATGAAGTATATTACCAAGTAACCCAGTGAGAACTGCTTGCCTATCATTTTAGTTGAAAATACAAGAAGTTTTATTCCAAGCAAGCATCGCAAGCCCGCTTGGTTAATTTCTGCTGCTTGCTTGGAATAAAATTTCTTGTATTTTATATTAAAATGATAGGCAAGCAATTCTGTTAAAAGCACTGGCACTGAACGTTTCGCTTCATGCAGTCTATTTTGCAATTTTTTTAAAATGATGTCAATCCCGAAAATCCCGGAATTAGGAAAACTTAATCCCGAAAATTTTGGGACTGAAAAGTGGTCGGGATCCCGGGATCCCGATTTTCGAGATCCCGGGATCAAATCCTCTAGACCTGACATATCCAGGACAAATCACCTTAAAAAAAGGATTCGTTCCCAGATCCCCAGAGCAGTAGGCTGACAAGTTAACCACTCAGCCATCTGGTTATCTTTAATACTACAGATATAGTAATGAATTAAGACCTTCCAGGGTTCCTAAACATAGCAGATTGGGGGTCCCTCTATGTAATTGAGGGATTATTATTTTTAAATTATTTATAAATTATGCTATACAATTTCAATGGTAAAATTGCTTTATTTTTTCCAATTTCAGGCCCCAGGACTTGGGGCAAGTAAGCATATCCCTCATATGCCTAGTGAGCAATCTAGCCCTGTAGAGGTTGCAAATTTTGATGAGTAATTTTTTATATGCATTCCAAAATTTATTTTTATGAAACCAATAACTTAAATTATATATCATTATTTAGAAAATGGTTTGAAATCATTTTATTATAAACTTTAAAATATGTATAATTTTATTTATAAATCAGAAGATTTTTGTGTTATTGCTATATCTACTGTAATTCAGATGAAAACTTTTTCACTTAATAATTAAATAAAATATTGAGAAATTAATTTCAATCATAGAGTTTTATATCAATTAGAATGTTTGAAAAATATTACATTTATTCAAAGCAAATTATTCAACTTTAAAAATGTGGTTTAATGAAACAATAATCTTAATAATGTATTTATTTTAAACTATTTCAGACTCCTGTCATCTGACCTTTATATTTCAAAGGAGAAGAGAAAATTCTAACAGGGATGCAAAGGCCAGTTATTAAAGATATGCTGTGACAGAGACATCTTATGTGCCTCTCAGGAGTTAGGCCATATTCCACTCTAACTTTATGTTCTCACTCTGTCAGTGTTGCAAATTAGCTGTGGAGGCAGTGCATGCCTCGAAGATATTAAATGCTCAACAGTGGTTACAGAAAAGATGATGGAGAGTTAAGTCTGTGTTTCATTCTCAAGAGGAAATTATATTGTGTTTCAAATTGAAGTCGACCTACTGACGTGCCAAATAGGGATTTGCAATAATGACTAATGCTGCCTTCTCAATTTTGGCTGTGCTCAAGCAGAACAATGTTCTACAAAAGTGATGAGTGGTGCAATTTCAGCACGACGATTTCAGCATATCATACAGCCGACGACATTTTGCTAAAATGTTGGAAGAGGAAGTTATCAAATATGTTGCACATAATGAGTTAAATTGGCCACTAACTTCTGTTGCATTGCACAGAGTGAGCACAGAACTTAATTTATTCCCTGTGACTATTGTGGTTACTGTTGTGTATCAGATGTACAGTTAGGGACACCTAGAACATTAGAAAAATTGTTCCAAATTCAGTCTTCTATGTAAATATTTCTCTGTTGCTTTACAGCCATGAAAATCTGTTTTATCGAGTCGTAAAAGTACCTATGGTACTTCGGTCGGCGGAGTTGTATGCACAGGCAAACATGCAAAATGAATCTGATAATTTTTAGGGGTATACAGGGTTTTATATTACTTATCAATATGCAACATGACATTACTTTGATATTTGGTCATTTAAAAATTTTGTCACAAACTGCAGCTAGCCATAATATGTTTTTTAAATGACTGACAGTTTTCAGAATTTAATTGAAAATCAAATATTGTTATATTTCAAGTTTCATCATTATAAAATGAAAGTGATCTTTTACATGTTTATGCAAATTAATGCCTTTGAAATCAATGAGGTCTGATGAATAGTTTTTCCACATGGAAAGACAGAATCAGTGCCATTCCTTTATACAATCATGTGCGGAACATGCTAAATGTATTTTTTGTGTCGTAGTAAGGCAGACCATTGTAGTAATTTTTATAAACATACAGATAAATACCAAAATACAAATCCTGAAAACTGCCAGATTCTGACACAAGAACAATAGCAATACAAAGAAATATGGCAAAGTTATGCAGTTTATGATAACAACAAAATTCTGTAATTGCCTGTTGCCAAGTTGTACATACTGATTTCCATTCGAGTATGGTTTTGTGAATAATTAAAAGTTTGTAAACTGAATGTCAACCAAGTTAAAATTTACATCAGTCTGTGAGAAATGAAGCATATCCTGAAGGTGCCCTTTTATGAAGATATACTGGTAATCTAAGTGTTTTATGGCTTGTGTGATAGACAACTAGATATCACCAACAGTGATAACTTACTCCATCTCTGCTTGGTATATTTACCAAGTAGATCTTTTCTCCCTGTTCTCTGTATGCTGTTGGTGATATTATTATTATTATATGAAACAGCATTCTAGAGATGTGAAGTATTGAATGTTGATTACCAGAGGTGTGAACAGAATCACATGACTGTGACTGGAGGCATTGCTTGTTAATGTTTGTAAACATTAGAGGATGTTCCTGTTAAAAAAAAAAAAAAACAGCAATAAACTGTACAGAAGAGCTTAATCATTACATTCTGAATTACATATAAAATAACTCTTCTAACATTCATAAATTATTAATCTCTCAATATCCTGTTTATCAATACAAAAACTTTTTCAAGCCTAAATTTGCTTATAATTTATAATAAGAAAATTATTGTATCCAATATCTCAAATCTGTAATCAATTGAATCTTCAATATAATATTGCAGATATGGTATGCAAATAATCAATATATACACAAGCAGTGTGAGAATATAATTGCAAAAAAATGAAATTTTATATATACATAGTATTTTAAATGTTTACAAATTGTATATAATTTTTTCAAATACAGGCAATTATATTTTAATTGCTTAAAAATCAGTAATTTCATTTATATAAAGAGTTTTATATGAAAATTTACTATGCACCATTTTTCTATTAGAATAGAATATTTCAGGGAATCTTTATAGTTAAATTTAATAATTAAATTTATATGAAAAGAACTGTATAAGAGAAGTAGAGTTGTGCTAGATGATTAAAAACTCTAAAAAAAAGAAAAATAATAATAATTTACATTAAAATTTAGAATTTTTGAACTGAAAGAAAAATATCTAAAGCTCTGTTTGAAATAATGTATCTTGACATCAAATTTAAAATATTATTTTCTGATAGCATTTTATAATATAATTATTAATTCAGATTCCACTTGTGCCTCTTTGAGATATTTTATTAATTTATGCCTCTTTGTTTACTTACTAACAACAGCAGTTAAGTAACAAATCAACAATTGTTACATAACTGGTGTAAACACACAGTTTCTCCAGTCACAGTCTTTAATAAATAAAATTTTACATAGAGATATGTTAGGGGCAGAGTACTGAGAAAATTTGTTACACAAGATGTTCTTTGAAGGGACTGCCAACAAAAATTGTTCAAGTCAAATTTTTTGTTACTCTGCTGCTTACATTCATTGATTACAATATCAGAGAAAAATTGTTGTACTTGACAAAGGTGAGTCCTGTGCCATGTGTTGATTTCGTGATTGTACAGTCAACAAGTCATTTTGTAAAAAAAAAACAAAAAAAAAGTAAGAAAAATCTACAAAGTCTGTAAGAAAGTTGCTGTACTCATCCTGTAGATCTGTGTTAAAAGTTGCATGTACATGAACAACAGTGAAATGGGGAGACTCGTTAAAAATTGCCTTTCATTTTTACATTGTGTGTGTGTATTACTTATTATTTAATTTACATAACAAGAATATTTGACATTAAAAAACAAATAATAAACTATCTACCAAATCCATTCAAAACATAATTGTATTTAAAAAGACTTATTTTTTCAAAACTGCAAACATTTTTTAAAGTATTAAAAGGCTTTTTTAATATGAGATCTCTATCTTTTATTCCATCTATTAATTTAATTATATGATGAATTTATAGATACAATAACTATAAGGAACATTTTAAAGTTACTCATAATGATTTCAACTTCAATTCTATTATTAATTGCATAATTTCAGTTATATTATCCAATAATACATATTAGAACTGCATTTCTTCTCCATCACCTTTAAGATATTACACTAAATAACTTTGTACAGTCTGCTGCATCATGTTCCATTTCCAAAGTAACTAGATCACCCAGGAGATTGTTCATCATATTGGAATCTCTCTATCTCATGAGCTTGTTACAACATTCTTGGAAACTGTAAAATTCATTATTACATAATTTTACTGTACTTATTGGTTTCCATTCTTATAACATCGATTTTATCGAATAATCAGCACATAGAGTAAATTTACCAGTCAGATTACTTTCGCTTCTTTACATAAATACACAGGAAGCCTAGCTGAAAAAGATGCAAACATCCTTACTCTAAAAATTCTGAATGCTCTCTAATTGGACTATTAACATTCCAAGATAAAAGGTTCAAGTATCACACCTAATTCATATCTATAAAAGATACTAATCAGGTATGATACCAAGTCGCAACTTAATTTTCATATTTTTTAGTGAAAGAACCTATCTTGGGGCATCAGACTAGAGTTAAAAACAAATAAGTACAGTACAATACTGTAAGAATAAAGTTATTTTCTATCAAATATTCTTGCAATATTTACAAATATGAAAATGAACTACTTGCACTATTGCAACTATTCAGGCAATAAACAACCTAAAGAAATTTACTTTAAATAAGTCGTGATATTCTTTTTGGTACGATTACCCGCATCTTTCTTCTCAAGAAATTCCTGAATTTTGCAAGAATGATGGCATTATACTCGGAAAAATTTTCTTATGTTTTCTCACCATGCAAAAATGAAACAGTGCATCTTTATCAGAAACGTTTTGTTGCTCCGTGAACAATTTCCATTTCTTCTTCACTTGTTCAACTCTATCTTCCTCCATTCATTTCCTCTTAATCATATTGCATAATTCTACAAATACTATATGTAGTTTAGAGCCCCGTTGCTGTGCATCTTGGGCGATGATGTACTGTACATACGATTAAAGATAAACCCTTATAAATCTTCCTTAGAATAGTGAGTGCTCTCTTATGCAGACTTCTGCTCTATAAATACTGATTTCATGATTCTTGTTTAAACGGAGTTCTCGGCTATCCTGTGCTCTATTAACTAGAGTCCCATTACATGCAAAACAGGGAGAAAATCGGGAACATTTTCGTTTTTATAAAAACTATCTCAGTCAAAATATAGTCTATTTCATCTACATTGTCCCCTTCAGTTGACTTTTATGATAAGTCATTAATATTACATTATTACAATAATACAATTAGTTTTTGGTATATAATTATCATGGACAAAACATGAATTGCATACATTCTTAAAATATTTCACCTACAATACAGATAAATTTACAATTAGATGACAAGTGGCACCATTATATAAATATAAAAATTAAAGGATAAGAACAACCAGGAAGTTAACATTTGTGATGTGCACATGTCACGTCTAAGTAATTTGCATCTTTTGATACTGCCAGAATGCATCATCCAACGAGCTAGAATATATTACATGACCTTAGATAGGTGACAACGACGGGTACTATTGACCGCCATTTTACTTTAAGTCAAAACATTGAAATCTATATCACGTGTTGGACAGGATTATCACTTTAGAATCGATTTTTATCTTCTAAATCTAGATTGTTTTGCTTGCCTTAGATTTTCTAGATTTAGGCAATTAGATACGTGATATAAATCTATATTGTTTCATCTTAAATTTAGCTATTTTCTAAATTTTATTTAATTATTATAAAGCAGGTAAGATCAGAGTTTAATTAAAGTGGTAAGTGTAGTACTTAAAAATCTCCCTTTCCTTTGTACACTTTTACACAAAGTTCGAATATTCTAGCTTGTTTCCTTTACACAACACAAATGCGTCGCCCTTTGACTAAAAGGAAAATGGCGGACGTGTATTCAATTTTCTTTGAATATGGCATCGCTTCAGTCACTCTTATGTAATATATTCTAGTTCGTTGGCGAGGACATTGATTCAAGAATTAAAATTAATAATAAATTTATTTTTATTTTGTATTTATTAAAATATATATAATTATAATTAGAAATCTAAACCGAAATTTTTATCTCATTTGCATATTTTATCGCTGTTTTTCAAATTAATTTCTTATAATAGTTAATTATATTAATAATTACATTCATGTGTATATAGATTACATACGTCAATAATTATTTTCCAGTAATTATCGTATATTACTTAATTTTAATTGAAAGGTTGTACGTAATAAGTAATTAGTGACGTAACAAGTCATAACGACAATGGCGGAAAGATGGTAGAGGATTAAATCATTAGAATCGAAGTAGATAAGTGCCTTCAATACGGATTTAATATCATTTCTTATGTAATTAAAACAGAATTATAGATACAATACTTCTCGTATTAATTAAAAAAAAAAACAGGTAACAATAAATTTTTGACGAAATTTATAAGGTATTTGAATTAATTAACTAACCCATATTATAAAATATATTTGTAAAAAATAAAATAAATAAATACTGTAAATAAAAATAAAAAAATTTAAATTTAATATTAAATATTACTTTATTTAAAATTATTTTAAAAAATTGACCGACAGATGGCGCCAAGCAAACGTTTAAATATTTGAATGTAATTTTAATAATCTTTTAAATATATTTTCATATTTTAAATGATTTATTAAAAACACGCTAACATAAAAAAAGAAAATTCGATTTGAGTACGAAATCTAATTTTTAAAAAATTCATCCAATCAATCATTTTTTTAAGATGTTATTTTATTGGCTCAAAATGAACACGTGACGACGATTTGAAAATTTAAAATAAATTTATACGTATGTAAAGAAAAGAAAGGATTGTTTCAAAATTAATTTCTCTTCGTTTCGTATAAGTTAAAGAACAATTAAGAAGTGTTTGTTTAATGTATTTAAACGAAAGGGCGTTTCTAATTTATGTTAGAAATCACGATTCGCATTCGTCTCAGTTTAGCTTTTGTTGACAGCGAAACCAATTACAGAACGTCAATGCTGTCACTTGAATATAAATGACACATCAATGCTAGATGGACTGAATCTTTAAACCCTGCTATCTATGTACTCCACGTAAACTTACCTTTATCACATAAATAAAGCATAATTTGTAAACGATCCTTAAGTGATCCGTTAAAATTGATAAACATTTCTTCAAGTTTAATAATCATTATTCCATTTATATTTTATTATTACTTATACGTTATTAAACATATTAAAATAAGTTGAAATTTTTATATAAACCGTTCACCAATTGGCTAATTAGCTCATCGAATATTTCATAAAAGCGATGGCAAATCGTTGACACGAATGGCAAAATCGTCACACGTGCCGCCGATTTGCACGAGATATTTCCGACACACCCAAAAAATAAATAAATAAAATGCAAATCTTTAATATATTTTTGCTCGAGACCACTTAAAAATACCAATTTAAAAACTTAATTTCGAAAAAAAAAAAATTCGCACCAGATGTGTGTGTTTTTCTGTAACATTTTTAAATTAATACATAGATTGTGTGTATAGAATCGTAATTTCTTCGAATAAAGTAAACAAATAGCAAAATGTATGTAACAATTCCGATCGTAATTAATAATCGATGCACTTCAGAGGGATGTAGGCTAACACGTCAATGAAGTTGATAAAAAGTAATTGGTTGCGCTGTAATTAAATATTTCTACCATTTAATCCTTTGATTATAGTGTTATAATCACAAATAAATGAAGAAATAAAGATTTAATATAATGTAAATTTTTACAGTTATANCTGTAATTCAGATGAAAACTTTTTCACTTAATAATTAAATAAAATATTGAGAAATTAATTTCAATCATAGAGTTTTATATCAATTAGAATGTTTGAAAAATATTACATTTATTCAAAGCAAATTATTCAACTTTAAAAATGTGGTTTAATGAAACAATAATCTTAATAATGTATTTATTTTAAACTATTTCAGACTCCTGTCATCTGACCTTTATATTTCAAAGGAGAAGAGAAAATTCTAACAGGGATGCAAAGGCCAGTTATTAAAGATATGCTGTGACAGAGACATCTTATGTGCCTCTCAGGAGTTAGGCCATATTCCACTCTAACTTTATGTTCTCACTCTGTCAGTGTTGCAAATTAGCTGTGGAGGCAGTGCATGCCTCGAAGATATTAAATGCTCAACAGTGGTTACAGAAAAGATGATGGAGAGTTAAGTCTGTGTTTCATTCTCAAGAGGAAATTATATTGTGTTTCAAATTGAAGTCGACCTACTGACGTGCCAAATAGGGATTTGCAATAATGACTAATGCTGCCTTCTCAATTTTGGCTGTGCTCAAGCAGAACAATGTTCTACAAAAGTGATGAGTGGTGCAATTTCAGCACGACGATTTCAGCATATCATACAGCCGACGACATTTTGCTAAAATGTTGGAAGAGGAAGTTATCAAATATGTTGCACATAATGAGTTAAATTGGCCACTAACTTCTGTTGCATTGCACAGAGTGAGCACAGAACTTAATTTATTCCCTGTGACTATTGTGGTTACTGTTGTGTATCAGATGTACAGTTAGGGACACCTAGAACATTAGAAAAATTGTTCCAAATTCAGTCTTCTATGTAAATATTTCTCTGTTGCTTTACAGCCATGAAAATCTGTTTTATCGAGTCGTAAAAGTACCTATGGTACTTCGGTCGGCGGAGTTGTATGCACAGGCAAACATGCAAAATGAATCTGATAATTTTTAGGGGTATACAGGGTTTTATATTACTTATCAATATGCAACATGACATTACTTTGATATTTGGTCATTTAAAAATTTTGTCACAAACTGCAGCTAGCCATAATATGTTTTTTAAATGACTGACAGTTTTCAGAATTTAATTGAAAATCAAATATTGTTATATTTCAAGTTTCATCATTATAAAATGAAAGTGATCTTTTACATGTTTATGCAAATTAATGCCTTTGAAATCAATGAGGTCTGATGAATAGTTTTTCCACATGGAAAGACAGAATCAGTGCCATTCCTTTATACAATCATGTGCGGAACATGCTAAATGTATTTTTTGTGTCGTAGTAAGGCAGACCATTGTAGTAATTTTTATAAACATACAGATAAATACCAAAATACAAATCCTGAAAACTGCCAGATTCTGACACAAGAACAATAGCAATACAAAGAAATATGGCAAAGTTATGCAGTTTATGATAACAACAAAATTCTGTAATTGCCTGTTGCCAAGTTGTACATACTGATTTCCATTCGAGTATGGTTTTGTGAATAATTAAAAGTTTGTAAACTGAATGTCAACCAAGTTAAAATTTACATCAGTCTGTGAGAAATGAAGCATATCCTGAAGGTGCCCTTTTATGAAGATATACTGGTAATCTAAGTGTTTTATGGCTTGTGTGATAGACAACTAGATATCACCAACAGTGATAACTTACTCCATCTCTGCTTGGTATATTTACCAAGTAGATCTTTTCTCCCTGTTCTCTGTATGCTGTTGGTGATATTATTATTATTATATGAAACAGCATTCTAGAGATGTGAAGTATTGAATGTTGATTACCAGAGGTGTGAACAGAATCACATGACTGTGACTGGAGGCATTGCTTGTTAATGTTTGTAAACATTAGAGGATGTTCCTGTTAAAAAAAAAAAAAAACAGCAATAAACTGTACAGAAGAGCTTAATCATTACATTCTGAATTACATATAAAATAACTCTTCTAACATTCATAAATTATTAATCTCTCAATATCCTGTTTATCAATACAAAAACTTTTTCAAGCCTAAATTTGCTTATAATTTATAATAAGAAAATTATTGTATCCAATATCTCAAATCTGTAATCAATTGAATCTTCAATATAATATTGCAGATATGGTATGCAAATAATCAATATATACACAAGCAGTGTGAGAATATAATTGCAAAAAAATGAAATTTTATATATACATAGTATTTTAAATGTTTACAAATTGTATATAATTTTTTCAAATACAGGCAATTATATTTTAATTGCTTAAAAATCAGTAATTTCATTTATATAAAGAGTTTTATATGAAAATTTACTATGCACCATTTTTCTATTAGAATAGAATATTTCAGGGAATCTTTATAGTTAAATTTAATAATTAAATTTATATGAAAAGAACTGTATAAGAGAAGTAGAGTTGTGCTAGATGATTAAAAACTCTAAAAAAAAGAAAAATAATAATAATTTACATTAAAATTTAGAATTTTTGAACTGAAAGAAAAATATCTAAAGCTCTGTTTGAAATAATGTATCTTGACATCAAATTTAAAATATTATTTTCTGATAGCATTTTATAATATAATTATTAATTCAGATTCCACTTGTGCCTCTTTGAGATATTTTATTAATTTATGCCTCTTTGTTTACTTACTAACAACAGCAGTTAAGTAACAAATCAACAATTGTTACATAACTGGTGTAAACACACAGTTTCTCCAGTCACAGTCTTTAATAAATAAAATTTTACATAGAGATATGTTAGGGGCAGAGTACTGAGAAAATTTGTTACACAAGATGTTCTTTGAAGGGACTGCCAACAAAAATTGTTCAAGTCAAATTTTTTGTTACTCTGCTGCTTACATTCATTGATTACAATATCAGAGAAAAATTGTTGTACTTGACAAAGGTGAGTCCTGTGCCATGTGTTGATTTCGTGATTGTACAGTCAACAAGTCATTTTGTAAAAAAAAAACAAAAAAAAAGTAAGAAAAATCTACAAAGTCTGTAAGAAAGTTGCTGTACTCATCCTGTAGATCTGTGTTAAAAGTTGCATGTACATGAACAACAGTGAAATGGGGAGACTCGTTAAAAATTGCCTTTCATTTTTACATTGTGTGTGTGTATTACTTATTATTTAATTTACATAACAAGAATATTTGACATTAAAAAACAAATAATAAACTATCTACCAAATCCATTCAAAACATAATTGTATTTAAAAAGACTTATTTTTTCAAAACTGCAAACATTTTTTAAAGTATTAAAAGGCTTTTTTAATATGAGATCTCTATCTTTTATTCCATCTATTAATTTAATTATATGATGAATTTATAGATACAATAACTATAAGGAACATTTTAAAGTTACTCATAATGATTTCAACTTCAATTCTATTATTAATTGCATAATTTCAGTTATATTATCCAATAATACATATTAGAACTGCATTTCTTCTCCATCACCTTTAAGATATTACACTAAATAACTTTGTACAGTCTGCTGCATCATGTTCCATTTCCAAAGTAACTAGATCACCCAGGAGATTGTTCATCATATTGGAATCTCTCTATCTCATGAGCTTGTTACAACATTCTTGGAAACTGTAAAATTCATTATTACATAATTTTACTGTACTTATTGGTTTCCATTCTTATAACATCGATTTTATCGAATAATCAGCACATAGAGTAAATTTACCAGTCAGATTACTTTCGCTTCTTTACATAAATACACAGGAAGCCTAGCTGAAAAAGATGCAAACATCCTTACTCTAAAAATTCTGAATGCTCTCTAATTGGACTATTAACATTCCAAGATAAAAGGTTCAAGTATCACACCTAATTCATATCTATAAAAGATACTAATCAGGTATGATACCAAGTCGCAACTTAATTTTCATATTTTTTAGTGAAAGAACCTATCTTGGGGCATCAGACTAGAGTTAAAAACAAATAAGTACAGTACAATACTGTAAGAATAAAGTTATTTTCTATCAAATATTCTTGCAATATTTACAAATATGAAAATGAACTACTTGCACTATTGCAACTATTCAGGCAATAAACAACCTAAAGAAATTTACTTTAAATAAGTCGTGATATTCTTTTTGGTACGATTACCCGCATCTTTCTTCTCAAGAAATTCCTGAATTTTGCAAGAATGATGGCATTATACTCGGAAAAATTTTCTTATGTTTTCTCACCATGCAAAAATGAAACAGTGCATCTTTATCAGAAACGTTTTGTTGCTCCGTGAACAATTTCCATTTCTTCTTCACTTGTTCAACTCTATCTTCCTCCATTCATTTCCTCTTAATCATATTGCATAATTCTACAAATACTATATGTAGTTTAGAGCCCCGTTGCTGTGCATCTTGGGCGATGATGTACTGTACATACGATTAAAGATAAACCCTTATAAATCTTCCTTAGAATAGTGAGTGCTCTCTTATGCAGACTTCTGCTCTATAAATACTGATTTCATGATTCTTGTTTAAACGGAGTTCTCGGCTATCCTGTGCTCTATTAACTAGAGTCCCATTACATGCAAAACAGGGAGAAAATCGGGAACATTTTCGTTTTTATAAAAACTATCTCAGTCAAAATATAGTCTATTTCATCTACATTGTCCCCTTCAGTTGACTTTTATGATAAGTCATTAATATTACATTATTACAATAATACAATTAGTTTTTGGTATATAATTATCATGGACAAAACATGAATTGCATACATTCTTAAAATATTTCACCTACAATACAGATAAATTTACAATTAGATGACAAGTGGCACCATTATATAAATATAAAAATTAAAGGATAAGAACAACCAGGAAGTTAACATTTGTGATGTGCACATGTCACGTCTAAGTAATTTGCATCTTTTGATACTGCCAGAATGCATCATCCAACGAGCTAGAATATATTACATGACCTTAGATAGGTGACAACGACGGGTACTATTGACCGCCATTTTACTTTAAGTCAAAACATTGAAATCTATATCACGTGTTGGACAGGATTATCACTTTAGAATCGATTTTTATCTTCTAAATCTAGATTGTTTTGCTTGCCTTAGATTTTCTAGATTTAGGCAATTAGATACGTGATATAAATCTATATTGTTTCATCTTAAATTTAGCTATTTTCTAAATTTTATTTAATTATTATAAAGCAGGTAAGATCAGAGTTTAATTAAAGTGGTAAGTGTAGTACTTAAAAATCTCCCTTTCCTTTGTACACTTTTACACAAAGTTCGAATATTCTAGCTTGTTTCCTTTACACAACACAAATGCGTCGCCCTTTGACTAAAAGGAAAATGGCGGACGTGTATTCAATTTTCTTTGAATATGGCATCGCTTCAGTCACTCTTATGTAATATATTCTAGTTCGTTGGCGAGGACATTGATTCAAGAATTAAAATTAATAATAAATTTATTTTTATTTTGTATTTATTAAAATATATATAATTATAATTAGAAATCTAAACCGAAATTTTTATCTCATTTGCATATTTTATCGCTGTTTTTCAAATTAATTTCTTATAATAGTTAATTATATTAATAATTACATTCATGTGTATATAGATTACATACGTCAATAATTATTTTCCAGTAATTATCGTATATTACTTAATTTTAATTGAAAGGTTGTACGTAATAAGTAATTAGTGACGTAACAAGTCATAACGACAATGGCGGAAAGATGGTAGAGGATTAAATCATTAGAATCGAAGTAGATAAGTGCCTTCAATACGGATTTAATATCATTTCTTATGTAATTAAAACAGAATTATAGATACAATACTTCTCGTATTAATTAAAAAAAAAAACAGGTAACAATAAATTTTTGACGAAATTTATAAGGTATTTGAATTAATTAACTAACCCATATTATAAAATATATTTGTAAAAAATAAAATAAATAAATACTGTAAATAAAAATAAAAAAATTTAAATTTAATATTAAATATTACTTTATTTAAAATTATTTTAAAAAATTGACCGACAGATGGCGCCAAGCAAACGTTTAAATATTTGAATGTAATTTTAATAATCTTTTAAATATATTTTCATATTTTAAATGATTTATTAAAAACACGCTAACATAAAAAAAGAAAATTCGATTTGAGTACGAAATCTAATTTTTAAAAAATTCATCCAATCAATCATTTTTTTAAGATGTTATTTTATTGGCTCAAAATGAACACGTGACGACGATTTGAAAATTTAAAATAAATTTATACGTATGTAAAGAAAAGAAAGGATTGTTTCAAAATTAATTTCTCTTCGTTTCGTATAAGTTAAAGAACAATTAAGAAGTGTTTGTTTAATGTATTTAAACGAAAGGGCGTTTCTAATTTATGTTAGAAATCACGATTCGCATTCGTCTCAGTTTAGCTTTTGTTGACAGCGAAACCAATTACAGAACGTCAATGCTGTCACTTGAATATAAATGACACATCAATGCTAGATGGACTGAATCTTTAAACCCTGCTATCTATGTACTCCACGTAAACTTACCTTTATCACATAAATAAAGCATAATTTGTAAACGATCCTTAAGTGATCCGTTAAAATTGATAAACATTTCTTCAAGTTTAATAATCATTATTCCATTTATATTTTATTATTACTTATACGTTATTAAACATATTAAAATAAGTTGAAATTTTTATATAAACCGTTCACCAATTGGCTAATTAGCTCATCGAATATTTCATAAAAGCGATGGCAAATCGTTGACACGAATGGCAAAATCGTCACACGTGCCGCCGATTTGCACGAGATATTTCCGACACACCCAAAAAATAAATAAATAAAATGCAAATCTTTAATATATTTTTGCTCGAGACCACTTAAAAATACCAATTTAAAAACTTAATTTCGAAAAAAAAAAAATTCGCACCAGATGTGTGTGTTTTTCTGTAACATTTTTAAATTAATACATAGATTGTGTGTATAGAATCGTAATTTCTTCGAATAAAGTAAACAAATAGCAAAATGTATGTAACAATTCCGATCGTAATTAATAATCGATGCACTTCAGAGGGATGTAGGCTAACACGTCAATGAAGTTGATAAAAAGTAATTGGTTGCGCTGTAATTAAATATTTCTACCATTTAATCCTTTGATTATAGTGTTATAATCACAAATAAATGAAGAAATAAAGATTTAATATAATGTAAATTTTTACAGTTATATTTTCATATTAATAATTAGAACTTATAATAATACACAGAATATAAAAGTTACTTTACAAATGCCACACAAACTAAATTATATTCTGTCAATACTACTAAAAAAATTTTTTTTAAATTAGATTTAATTATTTTATATTTAAAAATAGAGAATTAGAATTATAAATGATGATTTCTACATTTTTCTCACATTGTTTAATACAGTCGACCCCCCTATAACACTGTTGATTATTCCGTTTTATATGAATTCCATGTTGTACGAGTCACTTAGATTTTACAAATACGTGTGCCGGGCTGTGAACGGTTCACGTATTTGTAAACTCTAAGTGACTCGTACAACATGGAACTCATATAAAACGGAATAATCAACAGTGTTATTGGGGGGGTCGACTTGTATTTAATTAAAGAAGTGAAATGATGATACAAGATTCCTGTGTCAATTCTGTTAGATTAATCTAATAAATTGATAATTAGAATGATGAAAATATTTTATTTTTGAAGGTTTATTATCTAAAAAGTTTTTTTTTTAATACAAAGGTTCATCCTCTTCTAAGTAATCTGTTTTATAATCTGTATTAAAGTTTAATTAAAAATTTATTAAATTTTAAGTTCATCTTCCTCGTGTTTAATTTTTTTCCTCCCGATAAGATCAATTTAATTTAAACATATTGAATTTTAAATAATTTCTTAACAAACTTCAAAAAATCATAATTTAGCATTGATTCTCTCTCTTCTTTCTTCAAATATAATATAATTAACTGTAATTTTTGTTATATTTTTATTAATTAATCTTTCTCGGTATTGAAGGAATATTATAATTTAGCTTGTATGTTATTTGTAAAATACTTTTTCAATCTCTTTAATTAGTAGAAGTAGACTGTATCTTTCACATATTAAAGAATATTAATCTACATATTTATTAATGGGAGGCATAATTATTATAAATTTAGTATAACATTCACTAATTAGCCCGTTTCATCATTAATAAATTAAAATATGGTGTTAAAAAATGAAGGATGGCATAAGGCAAAGATTATAATATAAATAATAATAGATGACCATCTGTCTTAGACGGTGTATATGTATACTATACAGTACACGTATACGCAAATACTTATTAATTTATATGAATGTAAAATATTTAATTTAAATATATTATATAAATAGTATTATTATGGAAATGTTTGTATAGAAAATTTTGTTAATTTCTTAAAGGTGACATGTAAAAAAAGGCGTAGACTCACCCTCCTCAACACCATTTTTGTTTCGATAATTCGTCATCGACCAACCTGTATTCGTCGTTAAAAGAAAGGTGAGTGGGCGTTATATATATTATTTTAAGGCGGTTAAGGTTCTACCGTTGAGAAATTATCTCGGTGAAAAAATATAAGATACGAGTTTACGGAAGGTTTACGTGCCAAAGAATCGGTGGTATATATGTACATAATTTAAGCAAAATATGCAGACCGAGACACTTCCAACGCATAAGAAATTAAGTAAAACGTGATGAGCATAACAGCATAATCCGACTTTAATTTTCTCTAAGTATAAAATTACGATTTTTCTACCAGAAGAAAATATGCAAAGTATCGTTTACTTGCACTAAAATTGGTCGTGCGGGGCACGTTTTGCGTTACATCATCCGAAAATAGCATTACGCATTTCGGATTTTTTTTTTTTTCTTTTTTAACCTCTGCGAAGAGAGTAAAAGTTCTCCATCTACCTTGACCTGGTCAAATTTTTGTCGTTTATCGTTAACCTGCTGATCCCCTCACCTCTGTATACGTGAAGAAATCAGTTAATGCGTGGGAAAAAATAGTTTCTAGTTGTACACTCTGTTTTATCTCGCTCCGAGATTCTTGGCGGTCCAAAAGAGAGAAGTTAATGAAATGGAAGAGCTTTTTACACAATCATTTACGAAGTATTAAGATGTATTTTCGTGAAGGATATTACGAATTCCTTATTAACTCTGACTTCGGGATTTACGTGATAATCTTAAGTTGATAATTGCGTGATCGATAAAAATGCAAATTACATCATTTATTTGAAAAAAAAATGTCGACGTTTCCCAGAAAGACAAAGCCTAACCTACAAGTGTCATCTCCTTTCTTATCTGATGTATTTTTGAACAGATTAAACAACGAAGACGTGACATCAAGTAATTCTTGTATGTAAGACTCATTCTGTAAAGGTGCACCATACTTTACACGATCTGACCCTTCTTAATCCGATACAATAATGTCCGCAGCCTACATCCATTCTTCATGGCTCTTCTGGTGGAAATTTGAAGTCATGTCCAGCGTTCATGTCATTTTGTCACATTCTTTGTTTAATCTTCCTTGTTTTAACTTTTATTTTTTATTTTTAATCTGGTCTTCCTTGTTTTATATTAAGAAACTAGATAAGAAATGCATCGAATGAATTTCGATGAGTTTCTTAAGGACCACTAAGAATAGACTTAAGTGAACCCAGCGATAAAATAACGATTAGAATAACCAACGAGAGGTGAAAATTAAGTACAGATACTGTAAAGAAAATGAACTATATCTCAGTTTAGTACATAATCTTTATAGTCTACTCCCATTGATTATTCTAATCATTCTTTTAGCACTTTGCTTGGTTTGACCTTCAAAACTTTACAAGGATCACTTCTTTCTTTTAATTTTTTTTAAGCAATTATCACTCCCTGTTTCGAATATTACTTGCTTATTATGCCTGAAGATATAGATTTTCCGTATAGTAACCCATATTATCTTTCAACAAGGGTCTTTTGACTAAAGAAAGCGTTTCCGATGAGATTCTAGATAATGTCGTAGATTGTATCGTGAAGAACTAAGAACATGACTTTGTTAACCTGTTATGCATATTCTCTTAGGGAAAATGTTAAATACGTTAATTAATAGAGGTCTTTGACTCAGTATATGAGCGGGTATAACGTTTAAGAGCTCAGAATTTGTCAAATGTGGTAATAAAACACTGGTTCTTCTTCGTGACTGTTTAAAAGATTCAGTCTTAATTTGTAATCTGACAAGTTTGGTCTCGCTAGACATTTAGATTGAGTCGCCTTACGAATAAATAAAGACCCATGTGGCCGGATAAATAGATTTATAAAATTTAGCGGACTCCCAAGGTGGACGAGGTCTTCTCATTAGGATAGAATAAATGACCGAAAAGGTAATCTTAAATCGATTCACTTGGCATCTGATAACTTAAAAAAGAATAAGAAGAAAAAGGATCCTCTCTATTGACCTAAGGCCCCATTTATTATTCCATTTTATACAATATTAGCCTTTTTAATCTGCAAAAGCGATGGCAGGAAAATTAATCTCTCTAACACGATGCAAATTAGCATTATTCCCTGTTAACGTTTCTGAATATAAAATGGGGTCACTCCCTGCAACAGAGGCGGTATTACACGAAAGGCACAGGCTACGCCTTAGAAAGAAGCTCATCCCATCTGGAACCGACTTTCTTCCCCCGAGCATCAAAGTTGTATATGATGGGCGTGGTGGACCATAGAGACAGATGTGCTGTATGGCAAATTTTCTTGTCTCTGCAGCATCCTTCATAAATCAAGCTACACTGCCAATTATCGAGACACGCTTTGGCTTACACACGTCGAAAGAAGTTCAAAGTCACCGACTGGGGGGGAAGAAATCTGTCAGTGGAATGTCTCTTAAAGAAGGGCGAGGTTTTTATATAAATGGAGAAGGTGGGAGCCATCTTTAACTCGACTATTGTGAGAATTAACCGCCAGCTACTCCTCTTCTTCTTATTTACAACCCCGTTCCCGATTTAAATAACAAATATTCTGATCGATTAATATCGTAGTTGAAAGGGGATGAATGTTAAACAGCTGCATTTAAGCTCCGAATATTCACCTCCTCTTTTGTTCTTCTTCAAAATGTTTTATTATTTTCGGGGTCACTTTTTCTCGTAAATAAGTCGAAAGTTTAAGGATCATCGCCGGTATCTTCGCTAAGAATCTCTTTTTAAGTCGTAAGTTTGTTGGATAGAAATTTATCGCTTCGAAGACAGTGCGAAGATAGTTTAAGGATGGATCGTGATGAAAATTGAATTACTTTATCCAAATTATTGTTGCTTGTTTGACCTTTAGCAGTTTGATCCTCGTTGAAAAGTGTTTTTGGCTTTTTAAATTATTTTAATTCCTTTCGAATTTCTTACGACCATATTTAGTAAGTTCAAAATTGTTCGATAAATATTAGGTTTTTAGCTCTTTTTTTGTAAAATTTTAGTGCGAAAAAATGATTTACAGTTCTATATTTTAATTCAGAAATTGAAAAATATTTGTTTTCTTCAAGTCAAATGATTGAAATGAAGTGGTAGTTTATATGTAAACTGTAGAAGCATCATAGAAAAATGGTAGGGTCAAAACAATAAAATTTCAAATATTTTGTGGTATTTATAAAGGTATTCTGAAAGTAAGCAATAAATAATTCTCAAAGTTTCTGTTTTATGAGATCTTAAAAGCATCTTAATTTTAGTTGTAGTTGTAGTAAACATATCAAATTGGAATATATAACCTATTTTAGCAATATTTATATGCCTCTAAGAAAAATATTTATTTTAATATGTTGCTAAATTTTAAAGGTGTTTAGCATCAGCTAAAAGTATTTTTCTCTTTTGAAATGTTTTTATTTAATTGTCGCATAGATTTTGAGATCACCAATGTTAAACTCTATTTAAGAGCTTGGGTATTTTTTAATTAAATTAGCCAATCACAATGTCGAGAAATAAGCAAAAAGCGAACAGGAAGAGGCAATGATAAATCATCTATCAACAGATTCACAAGACTTGTGTGAACCCACAACAGACGGTAAAGAAGAGGGGATGGCTAAACGATAAAAAGTCCCATTATAAATATAATTAAGAGCAGTCCCCGTGGGAGTCTAGCACCAATACTTCAGAAGTTGTGCCAGATGCAGCCAGTTAACAAAAGTAGGCGTTTCTGTCCCTCCCATTCCTTCTGTTCGAAAGTTAGTAACAAGACAGATAAGGAGGACTCCCTACCTTACACCTTGCTGCTCATCTTTTACAGAATTAATTAAGCAGAAGCAAAGTACCGTAATGTGGCTTTTAACGCCTTGTAAGACCTATTAGTTACCCATTTCTGGTTATTGTGTCAGCTGTTGAACGTCTGAGGGTAGTCGTTGGAGCGTGGAGTAATGGGTCTTTTTTTTTTTATTATTATTATTCAAGCTCCCGAGCACGGTGAAGTGATTTTTAACTTATTAAATAGTGTGTGTGGCTAGCGGTTAAGAAGGCCACCAAAGTTAATTATCAGAAAATTAAGTCCTAGATTGTTATTTCCGAAACACCCAGACGAGTTGAGGTTGTTGATTTCGCCGTAAAGTAAAGTAACAAGACCCCCCAGAAAGTCTGTGGTATTTTTTTCCCTTCTTCGGTCTGATCGAAGGGTCCTGTTTTACCACGTGATTAGTGGATGTTTGTAAGAGGTCCGAAAACAGATTTTAGGACCGGCCGCGGGGTATATGTGCATTTACGAGCGAGGGACCGTATGTCACCCCCGACTGTCGAGGTTACAAATGTGACCAGTACGGATTTCATTTACGACTCGTCGACCATTGGAAAGTCTCAGAATGAATGTCTGGTATGTAGTGATGGATAGGATGCAGATATCTCTTCCATTCCCACGACTAGTCCTTTTGTAATCTCTGAGAAACACGCAGAGTTCTTCTTTCGGATATATAAATAAAAAGGCAAAGATGTATCCGTGCTGATATACTTTGTAAGGGTTGTTTTTATCTCCATAATCGCTGGTAAAGTAACTCGTCGTTTGTGAAACAATACTAAACAAACTTGCTTTCATTAATTCCAAATATTAAAAAAAATATGGGCTGTATTGTTTAATGATATATTTTAATTTTCAGTTTAAAAAATACTTTGTAAAATTTCTTAATACGTTCATAAACATATTTTTCTAATATAAAATACAATTTAACACGACCGAAGTTGAATAGATTCTTATACTTTTAACAAAGAAAAGTTCGAGGTTTATGTATGTTTTCCTCTCCTTTAATTCAGACTTTCGTAAAACTGGTTCTAAAATTCTAAAATAGATAAGATTTACGTAATACTAGAAGTTAAAATAAATGGTTTATATCAAGAAATTACATCAGTCAGACCTGTCCCGTGTGGATTTAGTATTAGAATTTAACTGCCCATAACCAATACATGAGATATTCTTAAATAATTATTATTAATTAAGAATTCATTTCGGGTCAATTATTTACTAAATTTGATTAAAAATGAACAAAAGTAATGCATTTA